AGAGAGAGAGAGGCGGGGGATGGAGACAAGAGGGAGGGAGAGAATGAAAGAAAGAGAGAAAGAAAGAAAGAGAGAGGGGAGAGGAGATGAGACGATATGAAATGAGGAGAGGAGAGGGGAAAAATGAAGTGAGAGAGGAGAGACAAGAGACAAGTGTGAGGAGAGAGAATAGAGAGGTAAGAAAAACATAAAGAGAGAAAAGAAAGGGGGAGAAGAGATAATAGAGATGGAAAGGAGAGAGGAAGTATAATAGAGAGAGAGTGTAAATAGAGTAGGCACAAAAGAAGAAGAGAGAAGAGGAAAGATATGAAGATGGATGGAATGGGCACTGAGGGTGTTCGGACCTGACAATAATGGAGGGGAATGAGTGGCACTCGGTGCAGGTGTCAGGCACGGCAGCCCTCGGCGGGATAAGTGCCACTCATACCAGACGTCAAGGGGGCAAGTGCCAGGGAGAGAGTCGTCCTTTTCCCGCGAGGAAAAACAAATTACCGCACAGTGTGACGTACCTGTTATCTCCGCATATCTACCTTATCACAACTACTGATATCATTCAATTTTATCATGAGCTTTATCAGCAATGCGTTACTCACAGGCTTGTGGTTTCAGTTGTAAGCACACTGCCTGGGCGATCGTATCAGGAGAGAACATATCTTACCCACAACGTTGTATCAGTTCTAACAATAAGGTTCTCGCTTTATCTCTCTCACTTACTCTCACTCTCCTCGCCTTACTCACTTTCTCTATCTCTCTCCCTCTCTCGCTTTCTCTGACATACATACACACAGACATACATACAGACACGCGCACACGCACACGCACACGCAAACGCACGCGCGCGCGCACACACACACACACACACACACACACACACACACACACACACACACACACACACACACAGACTACGAACGGTCGTACTTAGCGGCGAACTCACCATTTCTGGAGACGTCGAGCTCGACCAGGTTCTCGAAGTTCTGGATGTCCGGAGGCAGCCTCGAGATCTCGTTATCGCTCAGGCCCAGCCGCCGCAACTTGTGCAGCCGGAAGAAGTTCTGCGGAAAAGACCAAAGGTTTTCAGACTCGCCGCCGAGACACCTCCCCACGTGCGCCTACCAGATCAGCTGTCAGCTCTTACTCACCTCTGACTTTAATTTTTTTTTTTTTTTTCAAAATCCATTTCCCCGCTGCAGACTATGCAGGATTCTAACACAGTGCAGAACATCATGACTAATGAGATAAGTGCAACATGGAAATTATACAGCACGTGGTGTTGCTATCATAAAATATTATTTCTTATAGACATAAAAAATGATACACCTGAATCTAGAATTCTCCCTATGTAGTGACCACAGAACACGAGGCTTTACCTTATTGAGCATGAAATAAGTATAAAATAAGTGAATCATAAACCAAGTAAAAGTGGGCTCCAAAGTTTAAATAATAATAAGAAAAGAGAAAAAAGGAGGACATTAGTAGGCAGTATATCCCAACAGCTAGCAGAGCGAACTTCACACGCAGGCCTACCATCTACCAACGACGCGGCCAGCGCTTCAAATGGCTTGACACCCTCTCCACACCCACCTTCAGGAACACCTTCAATCACAAAGGCCCGCAAAGACAACCACGAGTAACACTTGCCCATTCACACACTCAACCACTCATTCGTTCTATCACTCACTCACTCACTCACTCACCCTCTTCTCCCGTTGCTTCTAGCCTATTCAATCCGAGACTCAACCGATCGATAAATCAACTTCTGATCAGAATAGAGCCCATTCATAACCAACAGGGGCCGAGCGCTTATTCAACCAGCGTTAATGCAGCCACGGGAATGCCGTAGTCAGCCCGCGAAGGGATACACGACAAAGCAAGAGTCAGGGCTCAGTGCGCGATCGAATGTAGGAAGGAAAGGAGTCTAAATCATTAAATTATTCTATTCGTAAGTACATAAAAAATTATGCACATTACTTATAAGCACTACTGGGTATACATTGGCCTCTTTACATAAATAAATAAATAAATAAATATATATATATGATTATATATAT